AATGATTAAGCAAATTTCATATTCCTCATAGGAAAACATAGTACCATGCCAGTAACGATCGAAGCCACAATGTCGAAGCATTCGTCCCATTAACCCACCATCTTACTGCTTCATATACATAAGGAAGGAAATGTGGGATAAGCTCAAAGTCATCATATCGAAGCATTCGCTTCTCCAAGCACTCCATTCACCTACCCACCAATTCACTGCTTCACCAAAAGAAGGAAGTGTAGGATAGAGCTAGGTTCTCCGTATCACTACCTTTATCGTAATCATACTTCTCGGACAGACAGACATACAAACCGACAAACCGACAAACCGACAAACCGACAAACCTACAAACCGACACACCAAGTTACTGCTTTATAAATAAGAAGGATGATTGTGGTTCCTCAGGGTGGCGATTCTTGATAGGATAGAGTGAAAAAGAATATAAGCTAATTCAAACGGTGAAAACGGAATAGAAAACGAAAATACATTGAACGTGTGAACACATTCATTCGTGTATTCATCATGCTTTTTGAGGGGATGCGGAAGTTCTTCTCGTGCGAAATGATCCACCTCGCTTCTATGTTCATTACATTGACTGCAACAGAAGGTATGTTTTCTGTTTTCAATCGAGCTCACATATTTTACTTTGTTGGTATTTTCACTGCTTATTTTTAGACTAGATGAATGGGTTCCAGCGGAAAATCTCAATCTGGAATCGTTAAGGATGCCTCAAAAAGGAAAGAAGGGAGGCGTTCCACCATCCGTAGAGAGGTGGCAAACCATATTTTTTGAAGTTTTGATATTATTTTGAAGTCTAAACTGTTGTCGTAAGCTTCTCTCCAGTACTTCGGCTTCGGCCTCGCCTGAGCGGGAATTAAGCAAGAAGAGCGCTGCAATGCGAAAGCGGAAGGCAGCCACAATGGACGAAGATAGTCAGGACGGTATCGGGCAGAACGGAGGTTGTCTGTTGCTCATAGATTAGTTGAAGCATTTGAATACTATTCGATATGTGATATAATCATTTGATTTGCAATATATGCGACTCGCGGATTTAGCTCCAAGCCAGCGAGGATCCATGTCGATGGTCGGTCACAGTGAAGATGCCTTGACAAGGATACGTAATATCGAAATGATTGAGCTGGGAAGGTAGTAAAGGGTTTCAAGGCAATCTTCTTAACTTTCCCCTCAGCTTATTCATGCAAAATCCCATTCATAAAATGATTTCATAGAAAGGTAATGGAACAACATATAGACTTTTATAGATGTGGTACAGAACCGGCTTCATCTTGTTATTTTCTTTTTTGTACCACCTTGGTGGATTTTGGTCCGCTTCTGTAACACACCCGTAAAAGTCTTAATGCTGCTTCATTACCTTCGACTTATTCGAAATGCTGCACAAATACGTAAAAATCGCTCCGAATGCTACATCCATTCCATTTGAGATCAGTTTAGTATACTAGTATACTAAACTGATCATAAATGGAATGGATGTAGCATTCAAAGCGATTTATAGTATAGTACATATTATTAGGCATCGAATACAGCCGTGGTACTTCGCGCCATATCCTCAGCAACTAGTCCATTTGCCTTGTATCTACATTTGCGAATTCTGCTTGAAATACGTGAAAAGCCAGACTTGTTTGAAAACACATATGGTAGAGTTGCTTCCTATATATTTTGCGAAAATTTCCAGGAAGTCTTACATGATTCGGTCAAATTCTTCAGAAAAAGTGCTATTTGAAACATCCTCCTGGTAATGAGATATATCGTAACGAACAACTATCATTTTTCGAGATCGACGGCCGAAAAAATAAGGCAAGTTTATAGTGAGAATGTTGCTTTCAACATGTTTCTAGAAACTAAAAAAATGTGAATGAGTGAATGTCTTGGAGAAGCGGTGGTTCTTTTCTTTTTGGGGAGTTAACCAATTCTTTCTTAAAATGCAAACCTGTTCGGTACTTCTGCAAATTTCGAATTCAAGGGGGTGAAAGGTGAAGATTGTCTTGAGGCGTACAGTATATCCTCAGAAAGTGATGTGATGGGCTCACACAGGCATTCATAATGTTCGATGCTGAAAGTAGTGATTATCAAAACTTCGTAAGAGTACTCGAACAAGCAGGGTGCACTAACAATAAGAGTTGCCCAGGATAAGCACTCGTTTTAAGCAGATTTTTAAACTCTTCTTTTCCTTAATCACAAAACTTTCTTTCTCCGGTTTTTAAAGATCCGTTGAAGCCAATACGAATATCATGGCTCGGCATTATTGAAACCTTGTAGATATCTGTATGTTCTTCGTTTCATGTAGCTTCAAAAACTTCTTCATCATTGAATTACTTTGTTGTCTAGCTTAGCTTTTCATGCAAATCGTCTTCTCGAATACTTATGGCTCAAAAATTTGTATATTCAGTCTATTCGGTCTAGTGTTTTATCCCAAAAGCCGAGTTGATTCAGAGATAGGGAGATCGGTATGGGTATGGCGCTCATGTAATAAAAGCAAATCAAAATCAAATCATGCAGCGACATGCAAAAGGGGGTTATGAATCAAACGGCATGTTGGGAGTACCACATCATAGTTATTTGCGATGTCTTTCTCTGAGGGGTAGGTCCCAAAATTGAGGAAGATCTCAAGCGAAAAAGCATCTGTCCTGTAGTTCTTTTAGCAAACTTTCTGAGCCAGTTTTGGTTTATAAAAACAACTACTATTTGGTCTATCCCAACATTGAAGGTTTCTTGCATTTTGAAGTATCAGTCGGCTCACGTTGGGCTTCTCTCCTTTTCATGACAAAGTAGTAATAATCGGCTAACCCGCCACTTTTCTTTGGGGCAAGTGATTCTTTCCTGCTCACGAGATTTGACACAGGATCAAAAGGGCAGTGTGCAAATGGTATTCAACAAGAGTCGAGCTTACACCTACGGTAAGCAGTCTCTATCTCTTGCTTTTCATTTTAAAAATAACCAAATTAAGGATCTAAGTGTTAAGCTACCAAAGCCACGAATGGTTCTACAGATAATGTTGAGTGATAGTAATATTTTTGTCAGATGTCGTTATAATGGAACTTCATTCTCTAAGGATATATCATTAGTTGAAAATCCCAAGTTACTGACGGTCGGATAAGTTCTGTTGCAGATGAGATAGAATCGAAGAGAAACCGTAATCCTACATTGTCTTGCAGGGTAGCGGTCATAACCTGGCAGCAAGTAGTGAACCGAATTTCCACCCCTGATAACGAAATGCCTTTGAACGGTCCCTGACATTGCACCTACCACCCACTTTTTGACATCCTCCTCTACCATTCCGTCTAGTCGAATAAAACATACTAGAGAGTCAAAACCACAACGCAAATACCGAAAACGTCAGGTAGGTAGGTCGTGCTCTCTAAGGCGCCTTATCGATTCTTATTAGTTGTTATCAGTTCTTGTTACCGAGTATACGTCCCGTCACATCGTAGATCATCCCTTAAAGGCAACGCTCACGACAGTTTTGGGCAATCCAGATTATGATGAAAAATGGAAGACAAGATCGAAACTAGTGCGACTGAGGTGAAGAAACTGCGTGCTTCGGTGTTTCCAAAGTGAAAAAAGGCTTCGAAAAAACGTTAAAAAGGGGCCTAGACGAGAATGAAACCAGAAAAATGAAGAAGAGTGGGGTGTCCGGACGAGCTAAACAGTGTGTTTCACTGCACGCGTGTGGGTCTTGATGCGAATAACAGACAATGGTAAGAAAAAATTCATTCACTTATAAGCATAAATAAACTTAAAAAACCTTAGTGACAGCAAAAGTAGCTCACCTTTTTCAGCCTCTAGGAGTAGGAAATTAAATAAGGGATCGCGGCAGAAAAAGAAAAACAGAGGAAAAAAGAATGGGAGAAAAACGTCGCCTCGTCACTCGGCGATTTGCTAATTGTGCGTGGGTCCTAGAACGAAAAATAGCAATCTGTATTGTCTCGATACTCGTCTAACGTGACACCGATCGAGGGGCGGGAACGCGAACTACGGCAACAACGGGGCTGCCACTATGCCCTGGACGTCGAGATTGGGGGAGTGAGAGGGTCCCTTCTACAACCCATGGGAGCCGCTGAGTATTAATAAGGTAAGAACTCAATAACTTTTTTATCGTGAACGGTGCCTTTAAAACGCCTACCCAATGTTGCGCGGGTGTGTAGCGATTCGTGCGATTCTGGGTTCGGGCGGCAAATTGCGCGGCGAAATTCGATGCGATTCGGACGACTGCACCATTTATCATTGGGGCCCAAATTTGAAGTAAAGTAGGTTATTAGAAATGTCCCTACCCTAGTAAAGTACTCTTCTTCAAGTTTGTGCCCTAATGATAGGCGCCAGAGTTGTTTGAATCATCGCAAATTTCACCGTGCAGTTTGCCGCGCGCACGCAGAATCTTACGAACCGAACGTCCCCCATGTTCCGCTGTTTTTACAAAGGGCGTTGTAGACTTGGTGGCTCCCGCTTTTTTTGGCTCCTTATCAGTCCCTGTCACCACTCATCTACGTTCCCTTCACATCTCGCACCGCCTACTAAAGTGACAAGGCTCCACTGTTTACAAGAAGTGAGTAACGGATTTTGTGGCTATGTATGTGTATAACTGCTGTCCCCCTTAACCTAGAGCATTCAAATTCATACATACATACATACATACATACATACATACATACATACATACATATAATACATACATATAATACATACATATAATACATACATATAATACATACATACATACATACATACATACATACATACATACATACATACATACATACCATACATACATATAATACTTACCATACATACATACATACATACATACATACATACATACATACATACATACTGTACATACATACATACATACTGTACATACATACATACATACATACTGTACATACATACATACATACATACATACATACATACATACATACATACATACATACATACATACATACATACATACATACATACATACATACACACTTACATACATACATACATACAACACATACAACACATACAACACATACAACACATACATACATACATACATACATACATACATACATACATACATACAT